TGTGTCATAAGAACATATTTATACTTCATATAGCATATGAAGTATAAATGCATATATACATTGTAAACAGCTCAACATGAACATGTTGCCACTGGTTTGTTAATCTAAGTCAACCCCTAGCCTCGAGGATGGTGTACAAGGGCTGAAAAGCTCAGAGGCCTTGGGAATATGCAACTCAGGTGCACTGAGAACTATAGTATGTTGTGGATTATTTGAACACACTATGAACACCAAGTTTGAGTTTGAATTATTTAAATAAAATCAGTCTTGGGTCAGGAGGCTGACTTAACAACTAGTTGACAGAATGTAGTCATACCTCCCTGCACACAGACAACCCAGAAGTGATTATACACATCTATGTTCTACGAATGCCAACTGATGCAACTTTTATAACTTTTTGTTTTTCCTCCCTTCCTTGCTTCCTTCCCTTTCAGCCAAACACTTCTCCCTCCAGCCCCCCCCACCATTGTGTGCGTGTCTGTTTCTAGAGACTGAACATAAAGCTTTGTGGATACTAGGCAAGGTCTTTACCATACCACTGAGCTATATCCTAGCTCTGTTTTGGAGATGAAGTCTTACTAAGTGGTCCAGGTTGGCCTCAAAGTCAATCTATAGGCCAGGCAGGCATTGAACTTATGATCATCACTTACGATTGTTTTGCCTCAGTCTTCCCTGCAGAGATGATTATAGGCCTGTACCACCAGTCCTGCCTAAATTTCAGAAATATTTTGTGTCATGAAATATTATTCTCTTGTTGATTTTTTCAGCCACTTAAAAACTGTAAAAACCCATCCTTAGGTCAAGGACTCTATAAAATAGAAGCAGACTGCATTTGTCCCATGAGCCACAGACTTAGTCCAAATTCCTGAGTATAAAGTTAGGAAATAGCTAGGGAGTAGTGGCCTATGCCTTTAATCCCAGCACTTGGGAGGCAGAAGCAGGCGGGTCTCTGTGAGCTTGAGGTCACACCACTGCCTAAAGAGTTGAAATATCTTTTTCAAGGTTACTTGGGGTTAGTGGCAGGGATAAAAAGAACATTTGTGTCCTCTTGACTGTACTCTGGCCACTTTACACAATTTGCTCCTGAGCTTACAAGTCTAAGTGTAGTTTGGTCAGAAGAACACTGTTGACAAAGATCACAAGAGATAAGTCTTCATAGGTGATTTATATAGTAAAGCTTTTTGTTTGAATCTTTTTCCCAATAGATAAGAGGTCATAGTTAAAGCATATTGTTTCCACTGACATGGACAAAACCACGTAAGTAGCTTTAAACAGTATGAGGTACTTCTATAATTCAGACAGATTTTTTTGTGGGTGATTTAATATTAAAGGGAAAGCTTTCTGTAAATGAAATTTAAGAGTTTAGTTGAGGAAAGAATGGCTCTCACATTGGCAGTCCTCAGAAGCAGAAAGGTTCAAAGAGCTCTTCTCGACAATGTTGGCAGAAATCAGAAATAAGTTGTACATACATGACTTACTGGTTGGTTATAGGTAAGGATTTGCCTATTTGAACAAGGTCTTATCTGTTGGTCGTCTGTGACCAGCTAAATTTCATGTGTTTGTGAAGTTCTCAAACTCTTCTAGTCCTCAACAAAATATATGTCCTATAGGTAGGCTTCCGTTTGTGTATGACTTAGGTTACAGTTATCTTGGAAATTTTGGTATGATGGCATCTTAAACTTAATTTAAGATGAGGTTTACTTAAGAGTGTCCTTGCGTTTTGTTAGCCATTCACTCCTATAAGATTCAATCTATTCTTCCTTTAGACTGGTTCTGGATATGTATGTAACCTGCACTATTACTGAACTCAAACTGCCGACTGCAGGATTATAGGTGTGTGCCACTATGCCAGTTTATGTCCTTTGGAATACTGATGGGGTAACCTCAGAACCTTTGCAGAAGCCTCAAATGTCACTGAGAAATTTGATTAAGACAGAAACTTAATGTTGTCTGGACAACCTTGGAACAAAGTTATCAACAGGTTAGATTTATTTAAGAATAATAACAACGCAGAACATTTCTTGGCTGCTTATTTACTCCACACATTGTTCTCATTTAAATCCCACAGAAAATATGTGGGAAATAGTTATAGTTAAAAAGAAGCAAAAGGAAATTAAATATTCTGTCTGAGAGAGTAGTTAGGGCAGCACTCGACTCGGGCAGTTGGCCGCAAGGACTCCATACATGCTTAGAGAGCTTAAAAATGAACCAACAAGAACACAGAGATGGACAGATGCCAAAACAGAGCAAAGTGCTGCTGGTAGTCAAATTAAACTTCCTGTTTTCATAGATGAGGAAATGACTCTTCAAATTTAATAAACATATCCAGTCATATAGCAAGTTACTATGTGAATCAAAACTTTGTCTCCAGTTTCATAGGCACCAACTCATTTAATTTCTTTCATTTTACTACCCTGAATGTGCTTCAGAACAAAAACTGGGCACAAGTGAATGAATAAATAGTAAATAAATTCTATGCGCCAGGCACAGAATTTGTGTACTTCCCACACAAGTACATAGAATAATTCAAATTTTGGGGCTAGTGTCCATGGAACGCATGCTCACATTCATGAAGTCCTGATTTCAATTCCATGTATACCTCTCTCCCAAAGTTAACCTAAAGTTGCTTTAAATAAATTTGAGATGATGACTAAACAACAAATCTAAACATTCTTGGTGGCTGTATTAGCTACTTTTCTCATTACCAGGATAAAACACCTGATTAAAGTAACTTGAAGAGGGGAGAGGTTGGCGTGTTTTCATCTCAGTCCAATGGTAGGAGCATTGTTGGAGGAGGCCGTTAAATTTTCCAGCTGCCCGGCAGCTCAGACCCCCAAAAAAATCACACAGAAACTATATTATTTAAATAACTGCTTTGCCGATTGGCTCTAGCTTCTTATTGGCTAACTCTCACACCTTAATTTAACCCATTTCCTTTAATCTGTGCATCACTACAAGGTCATGGCTTATCAGCACGGTTGCAACACGTCTGTCTCTGTTGGGGGCTCCATGGCTTCTCCTTCACTCCACCTTATTCCTCCCAGCATTCAGTTTAGCTTTCCTTGTTCTGTTCTACCCTATCAGGCCAAGCCAGTGTCTGCCTGTCTTCCTTCCTTCCTTCCTTCCTTCCTTCCTTCCTTCCTTCCTTCCTTCCTTCCTTTCTTTCTTTCTTTCTTTCTTGCCAACAGCTGAAGTGGAACCATTTTCGTTATTAACCAATGGTATTCACAGCATAAAGAGGGGAATCTCACATCAGAGCATCAGGCGGCTGGTATCAAGAAACAGAGATAAACGCTAGTGTTCTTCTCCCTTTCTCCTTTATATTTAGTTGGACCCATGACATGATTCTGTCTACATCCCGGGCAGGTGAAATGCCTCAGAAAAATGCCCTTATCAACACACCTGGAAATGTGTCTCCTAGGTGATTTCTAGGGCCGGCAATGTAGCTGGTAGTTGAATGCTTGCTTAGCAAGTGTGAGACCATAGTGTCAATTTTCAACTTAAGAAAAATTCAGCTCTTGGTATCTCACACTTCAAAAACTTCCATAAAACACACTATGTGCTGCCTTTTGTTTTCTTCTTTTGACAAGAGGTCTCAGGTAGTCATGGTTGCCTGGCCTCAAGCTTCAGCACACCCAAGGCACTCCTGATTCTCCTGCCTCTACCTTCCAAGTGCTGGAACTACAAGGAGATACCACTGTGGATGACCTAGAGTTGTCTAACTTATGAAAAGACTGACATTCTTTGCATTTTCATCTTTCTACTTAGAAATGGGAGATAGCTCTTAGAAGCTTATTCTTGGGTATTTTTTTTAATTGCAAGTCCAAGTGAATGTATATTGCAAGTGTCTTAGGAAAAGGATGGTTACTAATATTTGTCACCAAAATATTAGTGTAACTGAAGACTTCTTATTCACTTCCCAGCTGTCCAGACTCGAATATTCACACAGAAAGTATATTAATTACAACACTGCTTGGCCAATGACTTGGGCGTACCTCTTGAATTAACCCATTTCTTTATTCTGTGTATCACCATGAGGCTGTGGTTTACTGAGTAAGGTCCAGTCTGTCTCCTTTAGCAACTACATGACATCTCTTTGACATCTAGTCTCTCTTTATATCCCTTCCAGCCTGGCTATATTCTGCCCTGTCATAGGCCAAAGAAGCTTTATTCATTAGCCAATAAAAGCAACACATATTCAGAAGGACATTCTGCGTCATATTAGTTTTAAGTGTCTTCATTATTTTTTTAAATTTTGAGACAGGTTCTCTCTCTGTAGCCCAGGCTGGCCTCGAAGTCACCATTGTTCTGCTTCTGTCTCTGCCTCTGCCTCACAGCTCTCTCTCTCTCTGTCTCTCTCTCTCTCTCTCTCTCTCTCTCTCTCTCTCTTTCTCTCTCTCCTCTCTTTCATAACGGTAAATCAAGTATAACACAGGGCCTCATCCAAACACACTCCCTCTAAGCTCCAATGTGAAATCATTTGGGGGTATGATAGGAAAACAGGGAACATATAAGGTGATAGGAGAAGGGAGAAGAGCCCTTCATCCTGGAAATTGGTTAAAACCGACTTCTAGCAAAGAATCAAGAATTCCAGCACAATTAACAATTGTTCAAGACCTTTCTCTTTTTCCAGCTTTAAACCTCAAATTTTCTAGGAATCTCACCAAAAACCCACTTACAGGGAAATAAATTCATGTACTAAACCCTTTGTGAAACTTCTAGCTTTATCCTTTCAAAGTCCAGTTCCTTTGAAGTTATCTCCAGGGACACCTTGTAATCTCTCTTATCAAAAGAAAGAGAAAAGGAGGAAGATTTGTTAACAACCTTTTGAGGTGTAACTTGAGTCTCCAAAATGGTTTGCATGGCTAAAACAATTCTAGCCCCAGGAATCCCATCCTTTGAGGATCCCATACCAACACTTGGGTGTGTTTTCTTTCTGAATGCTGCTCTATTAACACTCGCACTTAAACCTATATTAAAATATTTTTATTAAACCCCACCTGTGATTCATGAACTGGAAAGTCCTGAAATTCTTTTCTGCATCCGAGCTCCAAATTCCTGTTGGGCCTGAAGTTTCTAAACTAGGCAGACTCCTTAGGCAGCCGAGTGTCAGCGCTGAGCTGTGTGTCTGACCTCTCACCTCTGTCAATATTACTGCAACAAAGTTCATTACTATACTCATCCATTTGAAACTTTTCTCGAACACTCTGGATTAAGCTTGTGCCAGTCATTTGCGATAGAGAGGAACAGAACAGTCTGTCCCTACGAGGGGAAGCCATTTGAGCAGACTTTTGTTAATAATAATATGAAATTGGTGTCAAAACATAATGAGCACTGGATGTCACCACTGGTGCCTGACAGTTCATTTTTACATTCTTGGGTTCTCTTTCCAAAACAAAGTAGTAGGACTGGTGGGTCATCATTATCGACACTATTGTAAAAGAATGTTGTCTATATTAAAAATACATCAATTAGTATTACTGAAGAGCTTAAACCTTTCTAAATTTAGTGACTTGGAAAGGCGCCGGAAAAACCGCGACAAGGCTAAAAGGTTTCAATGGTCACTTTTTACAGAGTATCACGGGGGTGCCTGTGGGGAGCGGTGCATCTTGGGACTTGTAGTCGTCCTAGGGTCAAGGAAACGACAACTTCTCCCGGTTGAACTTTCTGTCCCAGCAGTTAGGTTGACCCCTCACCAAAAGCACAGCTAGGTAACTTTTCGGTAACTCTGGGTTCTGATTGTTTGCGCAAGGTTCAGGACGCCAAAGGCTCAAAGGGAGCACAGGCTCCTTCACAAGCCTCAAAGAGATTGGCCTCTCCTCAGCATGGGGCGGGGCTCTAGTACTTCTGCGTCTCGGGATTGGCTAACCCTCGCTAGAGAAGGCGTTGCCGCTGCGTGTGCAGTAGGGCCCTCGGGATCGCAGAGGAAAGTCTCGCGATACTTTGGCGCAGAGGCTGGAGCCG